GGCCACATTTACTTCTCTCCACATTGAAGGAAGAAAACCATGGAGTAAGTTGGCCACACTTACTTCTCTCCACATTGAAGGAAGAAAACCATGGAGTAAGTTGGCCACATTAAATTCATTCTCTCCACATTTATGTAAAAGAATATTTTATATGAAACTATAATGAGCAAACACTGCATAAAATACTACACAAAACTGTTGCTATGGTAACATCAGCTCACATACTTTATCCTCTCATCTAAGTTTGATACGAAAATTGTTAAACTGGAACGAAGCTCCACGTTCCATCTAGTGAGCTAACCAAGCAAATTACCCTCTTTAGAGGACTGTGTCTTCAGTTCAGCTCTGACACATTGAACTTGTTTAGATCGATGGCAATGATTGATGAACTCCGACAGAACGTTTAGCTTAAACACTATTTTAAAATCGCTTTCTCAGCACAAAAAAGTCATTTTCTTGCTTTAAACTCAACTGAAATTTTCTTTTCGAGGAGCTTTTTAAGAATGCTGAATAATTTGGCAGGTGCTTTTGTCTTATATTTATTTGACCTATCATCTAGCTATAATGGTGAAATGTTTTAATAACAACATCCGATAACTCAGTGACAGTTGGTGAATCAAATGATAAATTGGGCTTCATATTTTTGTTGGTGTTTTAGTAAGCTTGTCTGTTGAATTATTCAGAAAATAAAATTAGAAGTATTATTAATACATGCTCTTCAAATCGTATATAAATATACATTAGTTGTGTTAATTAAAAACAACGTGCTTTTAATGCCCAATAATACAACGAAACTTCTACATTCAAACATTTAAGAATGTTACTAATACGTTTGTAGGTATAAACTTTCCGTGTTCGTACAACTCCCACTCAACTCAACTAATCTTCTTACAGTACATCTGTTCATCAAAGGCATGGCACTAATAACACTCTTGGGGAATATAATATTCCGTTACACATTTCCAGACAGAACACAAAATAAAACATAGTGACAGATTTGTAGACTCGAAACAAACAGAACACACAGGATAATACAGTAAAACATTTCTAGACTCCGAACAATACCAAGACACAGGATAATACAGTGGCACACGTCTAAACTCCAAACAAACAGAACACACAGGATAATAGAGTAACACATTTCTAGACTCCGAACAAACTGAACACATGAACACCTAAATTCCGAATAAGCATAACACAGAGGATAATAAAGTGACACACTTCTAGGCTCCAAACAAACAAAACACACAGGATAATACAGTGAAACACTTCCAGACTCCAAACAAACAGAACACACAGAATAATATAGTGACACACACCTAAATTCCGAATAAGCATAACACAGAGGATAATAAAGTGACACACTTCTAGGCTCCAAACAAACAAAACACACAGTATAATACAGTGACACACTTTTTTGACTCCAAACAAACAGAACACACAAAATAATACAGTGACGCACGTCTAGACTCTAAAGAAACATAACACAGAGGATAATACAGTGACACACTTCCAAACACCGAATAAACATAACACACAGAATGATAACATCAGTTGGAGTTGGGAAAGGTGGTCGGTCCATAAGTGATTATAGGATTACAATAATCTAAGTTATTAGAAAATTATTGGAGGAAACGGCTGCCCTTTCTGTTTGGCCGCTGTGAGAATTATAGAACCACCTAATGATTATGATGGAGATCACAGAAACTCCAAATAATTGGGAGACGTTGTAATCCGATACAAGGGAAACAGGTGGGCTCTGCGTGTTTTATGAGAAAGGAATATCAAAGACAGGCGTTTAACATATTAGAAAAAAACACACACAAAAAAACGGGAGATGTGAGAGCGAACGAATAAACCGAGAGAGGCGAAGAAAGAAAAGTAAGAAACAAAATCAACATTTAAATGTGTGTTTTGTTGGTTATACTAATAATCAATAACTTGCAATGTTTAAATAGGTATGAGTCATCTACTAAATAAAGCAAAGTGTGTCTCTGAAAGAAAATACATATACATGTTCCTTATACGCTTCCATATTTCTTGATCAATCAGCACCAAACTTGACACAGTTATACAGGATGATACGATGAAGGTCATGAAGGGGTGGGGGTTTAACCCCCATCTAATTTCAGGAAAATAACAACTCAGCACAACTTGACACAATGATACAGGATGGCATGAGGAAGGTCATGAAGAGGGGTTTAACTTCCCCATCTAATTTCATATTCATAGAATTGTTGAAAACAGTATGTCTTTCTTTTCAGTATTGGCACCTTTATGTATTTTTATTGCACTTTTAGTATTTGTTATGTTAAGGGACAAAATTAGAAGCACAGTTTCTTATCCTTCGTTACAAACAAGTTTTTATTTCACTCCAACTAGTATTATTATAAAAATAAACTTCAATAAAGTTGAAAGGAAAGCGAAGCACAACTATAGCACATTTTTAACCAAGTGACTTCAGAAACGGCCGAATGTCACTGGATTATTATGAATGTTTTGTTTATTCAACATCTAGCTGAATATCACTAGATTATTATGAATGTTCTGTTTATTCAACATCTAGCTGAATATCACTAGATTATTATGAATGTTCTGTTTATTCAACATCTAGCTGAATATCACTAGATTATTATGAATGTCCTGTTTATTTAACATCTAGCTGAATATCACTGGATTATTATGAATGTTCTGTTTATTCAACATTTAGCCGAATGTCACTGTATCATGTCTTACGTTTATTTGTTCTAAACCGGATGTCACTAGATTATTATGACTGTCCTGTTTATTCAACATCTAGCCGAATGTCACTAGATATTATGAATGTTCTGTTTATTCAACATCTGGGTTAGATGTTGAATAAACAGAACATTCATAATAATCCAGTGATATTCAGCTAGATGTTGAATATCCCATGATTTTCTTCTTCTAATGTGGAAAGAATTTAATGTGGTCAACATACCCCAGGGTTTTCTTCCTTCAATGTGGAGAGAAGTAAGTGTGGCCAACTTACTCCATGGTTTTCTTCCTTCAATGTGGAGAGAATTTAATGTGGTCAACTTACTCCATGGTTTTCTTCCTTCAATGTGGAGAGAATTTAATGTGGTCAACTTACTCCGTGGTTTTCTTCCTTCAATGTGGAGAGAATTTAATGTGGTCAACTTACTCCG